GGGGCAACCCACACATTTTGATCAACAGTGTGCATGTTGTTTACAAGCAGCAACTAACAGAGCATAAACAAAACTCATGGTGTTTTACTATATTACTAATTGCTGGATGATTATGCATATCTGGTTGTTAATGTTAGTTTGGTGTCAAATAAACACTATGCGCATCCACATCTTTTGTTTAAAGCTGCAAGACACCAAAGTGTTTTAGTGATTGTAAAAAGAGAGAGAGAGAGAGATTTGCCAATAGGGTAATAAAACTTAATTCAAAATATATTCTCTGAAAACAAGTCTTAATGTCTTGGACAATTTAGCTCCTAAAGCACATTTATATTGTTCTAAAATATTTAGATATGAAACACTGAAAAATAGTAAAAAAAATACTGATTAATAAAAACGACTTCTTAATTCAATACACACCGAATGATATCGCAGGGGATTCAGTCCCACAAACAAATGCAGATTCAACTCCACAAAGTTGGCAGTTTGTTCTTGGCTAAAGTACAAAAAGACAAAAAAAATCTTCTCTGGATCATCACCATGACTTCCTGTGATGTTCAAGAAGTGAATTCAACAGGTGAAAGGTTAAACTTAATGCTCCAATGATCATTTGACTGAGATAGTGAAGAATGTGGTGTTTGGTTAGAGGAACTAGCTGACAAAGAGATCTCACTGTGCTGATTCCCATGATGTCCCACTTCTTCTCAATCTAAAGCCAGTGAGTTAATTTGCACTGAAACCTCACAGTGGGATGTTGTTAATCTTTAGAGTGTGTTTGTGTGTATAGTCTCTGCACATAGGTTCATAGTGCTGGTCCAATCAGAATCCCTTCTGACTGAACTGATGGGATATTGAGTGCTGTGTTTCCTGCTGTGTGTTGTTGAGTGGGATTTGATGATGTTATTATGCAGTTCTTCGTCATTTGGGTTGGAAAACAGTATGAGCTACGATAACCTGATTATAATTTCTACTTGGATGAACTTAGAATTGATCTCAAGACTCAAAACACCATACACTTCACAAACAAGCAGGTGTAGAGTTTCTGGGGGGATCAGATCTAAAAAAGGGCTGTAGATCTGTTCAGACAGAGAGTAAACAACAATGCTAAATGCAAGTGTTGGAAAAGTTACTTTGAAACTTTAGTTATACTATAGTAATTAGCTACTTTCCAAGTTAAAGTATAATGTGTTTAAGTGAAGTGAAGTGACATGTGGCCAAGTATGGTGACCCA